ATGTGGTAAGTCTGGCAAGATTCTGTCTGTAGGTGAGCAACAATAAGGAAACCATAATTTTCTCATTAATTATGCTAAAGTATAATTTCAGTTCTCCCATTTGATTTTTCTCTTCAGAATGCCTATGTGAATATCAATCGCATCATGTCGGTTGCATCCAGGCTTTCAGAGGCTGGCCATTATGCATCTCAACAAATTAAGCAGATTTCCACACAGCTAGATCAAGAGTGGAAGAGCTTTGCTGCAGCACTGGATGAGCGTAGCACTATACTGGCCATGTCTGCTGTGTTTCACCAGAAGGCCGAACAGGTATGTAATTCATTTTTACTGAGTCAGATGCCTTTCTGCCTTGTCTGGCTTTGGTCTAGTTTAAATCACCATCGATACAATTAATACAATTGGTGTGTTCTTTGCATATTTCAAGAACTATGAGTTTAGTATTGTTTTGAGGTTTAACACTGGGCTCTTCTCCCCCTCCCCAAAACTCTTTCCCCAGCCTGTTCAGTACAGTGTATTTCTTTTTCTATTGGCTTAGGCTAGATAGAGTGATGTGAGAGTGGAGTGTTAAGAGAAAAGCTCATGGCCACACAAAGCAATACTGTTCACAGCTGCATGGTAACCTACCTAGTAGGCTTAGGCTGTTTAAAAAAAAAACCTGTTATGGAAAGTTTAAAATTCATGGAGGATTAATTTTAAAACCGTGTGTCAATAAATATGCTGTGCTTTCTTTTTTAGACAAGCAAAACAATGGTTGAGTTTAGTTACTACATTCAGCATATAGGCATTGGTAATGCAAAGATGAGTACATGCTAAATCTATTACTACAGCGATGGTTTGGTTAGTTTGTGCATGCTTTTTTGCCCTAGTGATATTGAACGTCTGTGCTTAGCACACGTACATCTTACAGAATTTGGGAGAAGCTGTAACTAACTGATCTTCTGGCTGCTATTCCAGTTATTTTCAGTTGCTTTTTGTTTTTTGTTTTTTGGGGAAAATGAATTCAAAATGAATTTTTAGAAATCAACATGGGTTGCCTTCCTATCTTTTGTCCCACATGGTGTCACTGTTGCCTACAAGGAGATCCCAGTAAAAGAGGTTTTCTTTGTCCAATAGATTAATGCTTAAGATATATGAAAAAGAGGGGTATAGCAGAGCTCCAATACTAAATATTTAGGTATCATCTTTTTTTTTTTTTGCAGTGCTCTCCAGTGCCTCTGTCACATCTGCTATATTCTCCAGAGCTTTCTTTTTTTCTTTTTTTTTAGAAAAGATGAAATCTTTCTTGGATTCATCAGTGCTTATGTTTGAACGGAACACATCTTAGCATAACTTGTGTAACTAAGGGAAGCCATAACTGGTGTAACTAAGGAGAGCCAGATGTTTCAATGATATATGATATATAGTTTTATCTGATTAGACCAAAAGTTTTCTCCCTCCTTTTTTGTTTCGTGTTTGTAGCAATTATGTTTATACCAATCTTTAAAACGTTGCCATTTTCTGGCTCATTCTTTTGTGATGTTTTGGCCCCTTTGTGTCTACTCAGATAAGTTTTCACAACTAGGATTCAGTTTTGTGGTCAAGATGGACATAGTATTTTTTTTTTCGTGAAATCCCACAGCTTTAGGTTGAAATATTCAATTGCTTTACCTTCAATCTATCTGAAGTGAACTAAATCTAGTTAATTATCATTGTTCTAATAATGATGATGATGATGATGATGATGATGATGATGATGATGATGATGATGATAATAATAATAATAATAATAATAATAATAATAATAATAATAATAATAATAATAATAATAATAATAATAATAAAGTTGGAAGGGACCTTGGAGGTCATCGAGTCCAACCCCTGCTCAGGCAGGAAACCCTACACCATTTCAGACAAATGGCTGCCCAGTCTCTTCTTAAAGACTTCCAGTGTTGGAGCATTCACCACTTCTGGAGGCAGGCTGTTCCATTGGTTAATTGTTGTAACTGTAAGGAAGTTTCTCCTTAGTTCTAGGCATTTATGAGTTCATATTATATAAAAACAGTCCTCCCTTTTTATGTACAGAAAGTTCATTTTAATATAAATAAGACGTAATACAAGGTTCATTAACAAGGGGGGAATAACTAATGTATCATAAATTTGATTCAGAAGGATATTTTTCCTATTAATTTATAATCCATAATCCATTTCAAATTTTTTTCGGGGGAGAGGGAGTAACATCCGCTGAGATTAGTAGGATATTTTAACATTTAATTATATATTGGACCTCATTGCATTTAAATTACTTTAATTTTTTTTTAACTGAAACTCTAATTAACTTGTGGCCACTGAAATTCAGTTTGAACAGGAAAGTTCACTAAATTTCTGGAATGTGTTCAGGATTAGTAATTGGAAAATATGGAGTTTTTCATTATGGAAGGGAAGAGCAATCCTGAGAACAAATGAATCTATAGTATTTTATACTAAATCAGTTAATTAATCTAGCTCAGTGTTGTGTATCTGGACTTTCAGGAGCACTCTATTAATTTAGCCCGATTGCTGTTTTTAGTCTTTCCCACCTAAGGTTCTTTTTTAGATAAATTGTGCAGAACTGAATTGTTATCTTTCTGGAAAACAAGGTGCTTCTGAACTTCTAAACATTTTTGTCTGGATGCATGTGGGAACCACTAAGAGCTAAAAGGAGACTAGTTCAGCTATTGCTTGACAATTTTCTTCACTTGCCTTTCCTCCAAAAGTATCATTTGTTTTCCTTTTTTCTTTACTTTTGCTAACATAGTCACATAAATAATAACAGCAATAGCCTAAACATGGGGATCTTATATAATTGGGAATAGAGAGCCTTTGGACAATTCAGTCAAAATATAATCTGAAATTGCCTTTTTAATCCTGTGAGGTTGTAATACCAATAATTATATCCACATGAAATACCTCAGGCTTTCTTGCTCTCTTTTCTTTCCCTTCGGTGTTTCCTCATGATTCAGAATGCAACATCTTTGCAGACAATTTGTTATCTCTGATGAAGATGCAGATCCTAGAATAGTAATGATTGGTTCAGGTTTAAATTTTTTGGAAGTCATCTCTGTAAGAAAGGCATGAGATATCATAGCATAAGCTGGTGTTGTTCATCCACGGTATTCGGATGTACGAGGGCAATTCGGAAATAAATCTCTGTTTGGTTATCAATGACAGACACTCGCAGATACAGAACTTTTATTATACACATTAGAAAACTACAACATTACATTACTTTTTGACATAATCACCATTCAAATTAAGGCACTTGTCATAACATCTTACAAGGTTTGAAATTCCTTAGTAGTAGTCTCTCGGTGCCAAATCTGGTTTATGGGTGGTAGTGATGGTGATCAAAAACATCCCAATAGAACTCCTTCAAAAGTTCTTGGGTGCGTCTAGCGGTGTGCAGGCGAGCATTATCGTGAACTAACACCACACCGGAAGTGGTGCCATAGAAAATCCCACCAAATGTGAAGATGCCAAAGGAGTACTGCTAGGAGCGTGGTTTGACCATCAATTCAACTTGTTCCTGTGAAACGTTATGAAAACTCAGACGAGCCATCCATAACAAGTGTCGGGGCATGCTGACTTCCGGTGTGGTGTTGGTTCATGATAATGCTCACCCACACACCGCTAGACACACCCAAGAACTTTTGAAGTAGTTCTGTTGGGATGGTTTTGATCACACACTCTCCATAGCCCAGATTTGGCACCTAGCGACTACTACTAAGGAATTTCAAACCTTGTAAGACGTTATGACAAGTGCCTCAATTTGAATGGTGATTATGTCAAAAAATAATGTAATGTTGTAGTTTTCTAATGTGTATAATAAAAGTTCTGTATCTGTGAGTGTCTGTCATTGATAACCAAATGAAGATTTATTTCCGAATTGCCCTGCAATTTCCTGCATGAACAATAGTCATTGTTCATTTTAATTATCTAATTTATTTACAATGTGTTAATACATTAAATGAAGGAGGACTTTGTTCCTGAATAAAGTTGGAGTGAGGTTAGATAATGTAGTTTTCATTTTCTGTTTAATCTCATTGATCTGTTGGTTGATTATCCTGTTAGACATTGCAAGCTTGCAGTACATTCCTTTGGGATAAGAATATTTGAGATAATATACTTCAGGGAAGTATACAGTTCTTTTATGTTTCTCAAATGTTGAAGCTGTTAGCTAGTGTTTTATTGTTATATAGTTAAATTCCTTAAGGGCAATAGAATGAGTACTAGATTTAATCTAAAATATGGGAAGATTAGTAAGAGGTAATAAAGTGTACTTAAGTGTGAGATTGTGAAGAAGTGTATCAGTGTGTCAAGTTCCATTTGAAATAAAATAATTAGTGATCAAGATTTTTTATATATAAAGAAGGCAAGGTCATAAATGTGATCAAGGTGTACGTACATATGTCATGGATGTAGGACTTTGAAGCCAACTCAGGTGATTTCTTATTGCTGAACTGTGACCTTAAAAACTGTTATGAAGTATAGATTATGGATCTACTATCTAATACTTGCCTCAAAACCATTTGTCTTAAAATAATTATTCTAGCTTGATAATATATAAGATGACTGTGCTTCATTTGGTTGTTAATTTTGGATTCTAGTGGATTAACCTGGTGAATTAAGATGTGTCTAGGAGCTTATATGGACTCTTTACAACAGGTCAGCATCCATTTTTGGAGGGTAAAAACATATATCACCTTTTAGGATTTCTCACTCTTTGGCAAAGTGACCGTTGGACATATTTTTTTCTGTTCCACTTAACAACAACAACAATAATAATAATAAAAAAAGTTGGAAGGTACGTTGGAGGTCATCTAGTCCAACCCCTTCCTCAAGCAGGAAACCCTATATCATTTCAGATAAATGGCTGTCCAATCTCTTCTTAAAGACTTCCAGTGTTGGAGCATTCACAGGTTCTGGAGGCAGGTTGTTCCACTGGTTAATTGTTCTAACTGTCAGGAAGTTTCTCCTTAGTTCTAGCTTGCTTCTCTCTTTGGTTAGTTTCCATCCATTGCTTCTTGTCCTGCCTTCAGGTGCTTTAGAGAATAGCTTGACTCCCTCTTCTTCTCCCTCTGAGATATTGGAAGACTGCTATCATGTCCCCCCTCATCCTTCTCTTCATTAAACTAGACATACCCAATTCCAGCAACCGTTCCTTGTAAGTTTTAGCCTCCAGTCCCCTAATCATCTTTGTTGCTCTTCTCTGTAATCTTTCTAGAGTCTCAGCATCTTTTTTACATCATGGTGACCAAAACTAGATGCAGTATTCCAAGTATGGCCTTACCAAGGCATTGTAAAATGGTATTAACACTTCACGTGATCTTGATTCTATCCCTCTATTAATGCAGCCTAGCACTGTGTTGGCAGCTGCAGCACACTGCTGGCTCATATTTTTGGCAGCTGCAGCACACTGCTGGCTCATATTTAAGTGATTGTCCACTAGAACTCTGAGATCCCTCTCACAGTTACTACTATTGAGCAAGGTACCTCCTAAACTATACCTGTGCATTTGGTTTTTCTTGCCTAAACGTATAACCTTATTTTTTTCACCACTGAATTTCATTTTGTTAGATAACACCCAATGTTCAAGTCTTCTGTATCTTAAGCTTATCTTCTGGAATGTTGGCTATTCCTGCCAGCTTGGTGTCATCTGCAAATTTCATGTTCCCCATCTATCCCCTCATCCAAATCATTGATGAAGATGTTGATGATTACTGGGCCCAGAACAGAACCCTGGGGCACCCTACTACTCATTTCCCTCCATGTAGATGCAGTTCCATTGAGGACTACACGCTGAGTATGGCTGGTCAACCAGCTACAAATCCATCTGGTGGTGATGCTGTCTAACCCACAGTAGTAGTTTGTGATCTACTTTATCAAATGCCTTACTGAAATCCAAGTAAATTATACCACAGCATTCCTCTGGTCCACTAATTTTGTCACTTAGTCAAAGAATGAGATAAGATTTGTCTGGCATGATCTGTTTTTGACAAACCCATGTTGGCTTTTAGTAATGACTTTGTTTGCCTCTAGGTGTTCGCTGATTCGTTGCTTGATTATCTTTTGCAAGATCTTCCCAGATATTGAGTTCAGACTGATAGGTCTACTCTATAGTTTCCTGTATCTATTTTTCTCCCTTTTTTGAAGATGAGAACTACTTCAGCTCTTTTCCAGTCCTCTGGTAGTTCCCCAATGCTCCAGGATCTTTGAAAGATATAGTTCAGTGGTTCTGAGATCACATCTGCCAGTTCCTTCAGAACCTTGAGGTGTAGTCCACCTGGTCATGGTCCTTCTGAAAACTTCTGAAAACATTTCTCTGCTTTAGATGGTGTACTAAATTTGTTGCAGGGTGACCTCAAATATTTCATTGGTTGCTTTGCAGTGGCAGCAAATGCCCCCTCAGATGAGCCAGGGGCTACAAGATTAGCCTATTAATGGCCCCTTGAGTTACTTTTACTACAAAAACTACAATAGCACAATGATTATAAAAACTATCTTGTAAAAGTTGCTAGTTTGAAACTTGGCAGAATTTTTGTTTAAATCACGGGTTTTTTTCTTTCCTTGGGCTTCCTATTTATTTCTGAACTTTTTTTTTATGTCCAACATTGCAGAATTTCATCATTTCTCCAGTCACCAGAGGCAGCAAAGTTGTACCCCAGCTCCCAGATAAAGATTATTTGGGCTGTTTGGATGCTGAGGGTAAATCCTTCTGTCTTGAATGTCTAGAGTAGATAGTAAGAAGTTCAAAGAAATAAAAATTATAATTTGTTTTAAAAATTAATTTGGGTGTTTGTCTGTGTGTGTGTGGGAGAGAGAGAGAGAGAGAGAGAGAGAGAGAGAGAGAGAGAGAGATCCTCCCTTGGCTGCCTTATACATTAACAATAAATTCTCCTAAACTAACTGCAATTATCTGAAGTAATTAGTTTCCTTCCACATCACTTTGATTCCTATTTTTGTTTTGTCCTCACAAAAATGTTTTCTCTTTCTTAAAGATAGCAAAAAATACAGCTATTTATTTGCTTTTTGGGGGGTGGAGGAGTAGGGGAAGAATCCTTGACCTGCTACATCTACAGATGATTTTGAAACTTTTGAAGTTGTCCAAAACTGTTTGCGGAACTAGAGAATTTAATGAAAAACAAGCCCAGAGCCCTCTTGAGTTTATCAAATGAGTTATTAAGTGATGTGTATTCTGGACCAGATTTCAACTAGAAAATGGCATTCTTGTTTTGCTGGCTGTGCTGTGTTATGCTACATATTTTATTGCTGATAGCTGTTATTTTTTTTAGAGATGGTGGAAAGAGATGGTGGTGTTTTTTTTAAGAGATGGTGTTATTTTTTTTATTTTGGTAATTAGATAAGCTGTTAGGTTTTTAGTAATTAAGTAAAATTTTCTTGAAATTCTTTCAGTTTCTGTCTGGTGTAGATGCCTGGTGCAAAATGTGCAGTGAAGGAGGTCTCCCCTCTGAAATGCAAAACCTGGAATTGGCCATCCATCATCATCAGTCCCTTTATGAACAGGTCACTCAGGCTTACACTGAGGTGAGTGTTTCTAGGCCGATTTTTAATAATCACCAGGAGATTTCACAATGTAATTAAGAGAGATGGTTGAATATGCAAAAGGAGTACTGAGGGTTATGAGCTACCTAATTTATATGATGTGTTCATCTGGTTTTTCATTCCATGCTGATATATTAAATAGCCTAGCTAATAGATCTTCCGTAATTTTTTTTTTGTAGTACTATAGCGTTTCATATTCACTCAGGAGATGGTGCAATTCTGTGCTTGTGTGTTTAGAAGTAATCCCATTGTCTTATTCTAGAAACGTCCGTATAGGATTGTAGCCTGAGCTACAGCAGACTTTACTTAGGAGTGTAAAATCATTTTCAAGCTGTGTGATTCTAATAGCAGTTTTAGGAATCCTGTAGTGAAAAAAATACCGTCATCAGGAAGACGAGTGATGCAATCCAAGCAATTAGCATCAAGTGAGTTACATGGAACGTAGTCTTCAGAATTCCCTAATACAAATCTATATAGCTTGGAACCATTTGCTCAAGAATCAATTTGCTTGCTTGACATGGTCTAGTTCAGAGAGATTACTGTGGAAACCCAACCCACATCTGCCAAGAAATCAAAAGGGCTAAGAAAACAAATAATCACTTCTAAATTGCATGCAGAAACTAATCACTAGTCAATGAAGCGGTGGTTTTACATGATTGCCTAGTAAGTATATTGGCTGCTACATTTTGTATCAACTGATATTTCCAAATAGCCCCCATATTGGAAATCACAAGGGGATAGTCTGTATCTATTTTAGATAAGGCCATAATTGCGGCACCAACTTGAGCAAAGGCCCTCCTGTTGCAACAGGGCCATGAATCCAGAAGAACCCTGAATTTGCCAGTCTGCTCTCTACATAACCCTATCAAGACTCAAAGATAATAATTATAATTATTATAATTATAATATATATATATATAATTCTTAAATCACTAAGCTTCTGAATGAGTTGCTACTCAATCCTGCTTGGGATGAGTATGAACCTATCCCTACCCTGAATAATGGATGAAGGCTTTGACTCTACCCCCTATTCGGCCCCTATTTATATATGATGACTGGATAACATTTGTTTAGTAATGATGCCTAACTCCAAACTGTCAGATTATCTCCACCAGTGATTTCACATAAATGTTAGGACAGGGAAAAAGACTGAGCCCAGTGGCACCCCTTAATGGAGCACTTGAGGAATGAGTTCTCCTGTCTTGTGTCAAGGTAGGAGTGGCAGTACTCTAGAACCCCCAACACTTGTAACCTTGTAAGTGATCCAGAAGAATGCTGTAATTGATGGCACCAAAGGCATTCACATCTAGCAAGATAAGGAAGATCACACTCCCTCCATTAATGTCCCACCACAAGTCACCTGTGAGGGTAATCGGTGCAGTTTCAGCCTCATTTCCAGGCTTGAATCATGACTGCCATAGGTCTAGATAATCTGTTTCTTCTAGGACCTTACGTAGCTGTTGCTCACATTTCTTCCATTACCTTTCTTAGAAAAGGGATATAAGATTATATTTGTCCAATATAGGTGGATCTAAGGCAGACCTCTTGAGGAAGAGGTAGATTATCATCCCTTTCAAGGCTGGTACCCACTCATTCCCACAAAGAGGTGTTGACGGTTTATTACCTCAATTTCCCTGCTCTCTCTTTCGGTGCTTTAATAACCAGAAAGGCAGGGGTCAAATCTACAAGTGATAGAGCTATGGCCAAAGAGAAGCCTGTCTATCTCTTTGGGAGTCGCAAGCTGAAAAAGATCTCAGGTAATATTTCAGATTGCTACTTCTGTCATCCCCTGAATTCTGTCCACTTGGCTTCCAATTTGGAACAAATGAAAGTGATATTATCTTTAAAAGGATTAGTCATATGACTGGTTCTTCCAGATCCTTTATTCCAAGACATTTTATATGGAAGGAAGGAAGGAAGGAAGGAAGGAAGGAAGGAAGGAAGGAAGGAAGGAAGGAAGGAAGGAAGGAAGGAAGGAAGGAAGGAAGGAAATATATGATTTAGAACATAATAACATGGGAATTTTCTGGGCCTTGCTTCAGTTCTAATTTTTGCTGGTTAACTAATTCTTGCTGATTAATTAAATATGGATTCCTCTGAGGCAGCACTTAATGGATGTAGTATTAGCCTAATACTAATGATTGATAATCATAAGCAGTGGATTACATAGCAGAAGACACTGAATTGCTAGAGAGTCTGGGTGAGTTTCACTTTTAAATGTAAGAGAAAATATTATCACAACTAAATTTTCTTTTGAGACTCCCACTACATAACAATTAAGTAAACTAAAGAGCATTACATTCTTCTATATGACATTTTCACCATGACTGCATTTTTTTAGAAATATATTTTATTTATCAAAATGTTTTTTTGGTCTGCCTAATGACCAGGAAAGACATACTAGAGTGAAATAAAAATAATTTACTTTATTTAAAAACAATGGCATATAACAATAACAGAAAAGCATTTTTTTTACCAGAAACAATAGAACTGGTTTCCTAAGATGAAAGTCCATTTGCAAATGATTTACTTGAATCTTACACATCATTTATCCAATCTCTTTCAGGGATTTAATTCTAACCAAATTTACAGAAGCAACAAAAAAAAAGATATTCTTCCAAATTCTACTTGACTTTTAACAAACGGTATACAAAAAAAACCCCTATCTGGTACGATCAGTTTTTAACAGCTTGACAGAAACCTCCTCCTGTGTCTTTCAGGTAAGTCAGGATGGCAAAGCTTTACTGGATGTCCTGCAACGTCCCTTGAGTCCTGGAAACTCAGAATCCCTCACGGCTACAGCGAATTATTCCAAGGCTGTTCACCAAGTTTTGGATGTGGTCCACGAGGTCTTACATCACCAGCGGCGCTTGGAGAGCATCTGGCAACACAGGAAAGTTCGGTTACATCAGCGGCTTCAACTTTGTGTTTTCCAGCAAGATGTTCAACAGGTAATGAAACAGCTTATTTATGTGTGAAATGATGATTAAATATAGTCTTGTTCTCCACAAAATGATGTTCTCCCCATCATAAAGGACAACTCCTATAGACTTCAACCAGTATGATCAAAGGTAACAAGGGAATTCTGGAGTAGTAATCCAATATAACTACAGGAAGCCACATCAAGGAAGAGTGAAAAAAGATGAAGACTACCTGATGATATGAGGGTCAATTTATATATATATATATATATATGCAGGTCTTGGCGTATTCGGGTCTTTTCCCGTGTAAGATTGAGAGTATCTTGGCGACGTTTCGACGAGGTCCCACTGGTCATCTTCAGGCTTTCTGTTTTTGATTCACTAGCTGCTGTGCATTGTTCAAAATCTTGACTTAGACACTGTAGTTTTTCTTGCAGTATTTTCTCCCGTTCCACACTGCCCTCATAAAACTTCATCTTCTTTTCCATTGCTTTTACTTTCTCATCCAGTAGCTTAAATTCATGAAGGACCAAATAACTGACTCCATAATATTTACATATCGTTTCATCTCGGGACATCTTTCTTATTTCTTCTGGCAAAGGATACACAGGTATATGTCGATCCATTTCTTTCTGTATTTTTTTAAAGAATTATCAGAGGACTGTCACAAAACCCCCAAGCACAGCTAGCAAAACACCGCGGGCAGCAGCAACGAAAGCCGCGCAAGTTGTCAACACCCCACCAGGAGCTTCTCCGCTTCTTCATTTTATATATATATATATATATATAAATAATTTGATAAATTGTCCCATGAAACCACACTGTTTATTACTTATCTTTATGATGCAATAACTTTGGCCCTTGTCTTTCTGAGCCACAGTTTGTGTGAAAAAGAAATATAAGAGAAACCTCAACTAAATTTTATCTGTATGGACTTATATCCAACATTGCATATAGTTACAAAAGACATGTATAAAGTGATTTGGAAACTATTGTTTACTTATTCCCAGTGTAAGAGTATTCCAGGAACACAGCTGTTTTAATTAATACTGTACATCCAAGATTTTGTAGATCCAAAATTAATCAGAGATATTATAATGCTGTCCCTGGACCTAACTTACTAAACCAAGTATATTTTTGCTCATATGGAATATTTAAATCCAATCCATTAGCTTCTGGGTTGGTGCAGTGTTGAATATTATAAGTAAGAACTTCTGCAGGGGGAATGACAATCTATGTATCATGACATCTTCACGCAACTTTTATATTTATGTGAAACATCATGATACACATTAGTCAATGATGTTGCCCATTTTATTACTTTGGTGGCATCATGCCTTGGATGCCGTTCATTATAAACCATGGTAATTAATGTGCAAACATTTCCTGTGGGGAAATATAGTGAGTCCGAGTATAGAATTCGAGAAAGCATCTGGCCCTATAAAAAAAATATATGGAGCTTCAGCTAGGGCCAGCCATTGATTAAACATTAGTTCACCTCTTTATTGTTTGTAATCAATATAATCTTTGGAATGCTTATAGAATTTGATAACATCATTTCAAAGTGATGCTTTATTCTACTTTATAAATTGGATTTATATTTATTTATTTACGTGTTTGTTTGTTTGTTTGTTTATTGCATTTATATGGTTATCCATTTCACAGAGTGACTCTGCCTGGCATTCAACAACAATATAAAATGACAAACCTATCAAACAATGATTGAAAGTTATAATTTATATACTAGTAGTTTCAATTAATTGAGTCATGATGGTTGATTTATGATTACTTATTTTTTATTAACTTCACACAGTCAATTAAATATAATTCCATAGTGTCTATTGGAAGTTTATTTTCATAGTAACCAAACACGGTAGAATTTTGGAGGAAAGGGTTTGAAAAGGTCTTGTCTAACCTAGTCAAACCTAGTCAAAGCTTAGTCTAGTCTAGTGAATCCCGCTGAGTTAATTAGAGCTCACAACAAATATTGAGTCACCTAATTCAGCATACTGTCTGCTTCTGCACAATACCCAATCTAATCAATACTGGATATTAGAAAAATTAATATTTCCTGTGGATTAGATCTGAATAAAATCTTCCTTACTGCAAACTTGACATTGTATTTCAGATCAGAACAGCTTTGCACACAGGTACTTTTTAAGTCTGAATTCTGTCTCAATGTTTCAAATTTCAAAGTTCTTGCAGTTTTCCCTCTGTGGATTGAAGATATAAGAAACTGCCAAGCAAGATAAAATGCGACTTTTGGTTTCTCATTCTATGTCTCATTTTGCTCTTACATAGCTGACAGCCTCACAGTTTATCTTTTTAATCTACAAGACTGCAGTGCAGAAATACCACCACAGGTAGCACTCGATTTACAACAGTTCATTTAATGACCGTTCAAAGTTACGACAGCACTGAAAAAAAGTGACTTAGGACAGTTTTTCACACTTACAACTGTTGCAGCATCTCCATGTCACATGATCAAAATCCAGACACCTGGTTGCAGTGTCCCAGGGGTCATGTGATCGCCTTTTGCGAACTTCTGAGAAGCAAAGGCAATGGGGAAGCCAGGTTCACTCAACAACCATGTGACTAACTTAACAACTGCAATGACTGTCTTAACAACTGTGGCAAGGAAAGTCGTAAAATGGGGCAAAACGTACTTAACAACTGTCTTAGCCACAGAAATGTTGTGCTCAATTGTGGCAATAAGTCAAGGATTACCTGTACTTTATTTTAATTATTATTATTTATTATCATAATTATTATTATGATGATTATTATTTAAAGGTTATGATAAAATAATGTTTGAGTACTTGGAAGTTTAGAATATCATACTATTATAATAGACTACACATTGTTCCCACTATGACCATTTTTAAAAATATCACTGCTGCCTTATAACTCCTTTCCCATCCTTAACTGCCTTCCCTTCCCTTACCCTTAACAAGAAGGTGTTCACAGGTGATCGTGCATGTGCTAAGCCAACATGTAACACCGAAACCAATATTGATTCAACAAACCTGGCGACCGTGTCTTTAATCCTTTCTAAATGAAGGAAATATCCTTCGTTTCTCTAGAACACAGGGACAGATGTTTGTGTTTTCAATTACTGTATTGATTCAGTTCTGAGGCCTTTGCGCTAATCTTGTAATAAAATATTCATGTCTTTGTAGGCATAAATGTCAGAATGTACATAATACAATTCATATTGCTGCAGATTTCTGCCCCTGGCTTAATATCTACATCCACCCGGATGTCTACATTACAGCAGGAGCAGTTATAAGACCAGAAGAGTAAATCTGCCAATAATGTTTCAGATGTATGAGGGTTTTATTACCTCCTCTCTCCTCAACATACCGGTAGACTGATGCAGGGTGCTGGATCAATTCTGGTAAGATACGTATCAGCTGCACCCTTTTTTTTTCTGTGCCATGGCATCCTTCATCCTCTATAGCAGGGGTGTCAAACTCGCAACATCACGTGACGTGTCGCGACATATCGCGACTTTTTTGCCATTGCCGGCCATGGGGTGGGCGCGGTTTCGCTATGATGCATCCGGCCCATGGGCCGGCAGTTTGACACCCCTGCTCTACAGGTAGAGCTAGAAATAGTCAAAGGAAGCAGGCTTATTTAAATCTCCACTCCCCATTTGTGGATGTTTCAATTGCTTTGAAATGGCTCCTTTTTTTTTCCCCTCCCCTGCTGCTGTTTCAACTGCTTGGGTTATTCCCAAGCAGTTTAATCAATACCTGCCAGTAATCTAGGAGAGGATGTGTAGGTCATTATCTCCTCTCCCTTTAAGCTGTTCTTCTGATCCCTTTGTTTCTATAAACTTTCACTGTAACTTAAATTCTTTTCAAGGAAGTGGGAAGAGTTTGTTCCCTTTCTAGTGGCAGTTTTTCCAGATTCACTCAAGCTGCTTTTCTTTGTCTGTTGCTAAGAATACCCTTCCTTAAACTCCTAACTGCAAGCTGTCTCATTCTTTTTCTCTCTTTAAAATGTCCAATAAAGAGTCATTCTGCGCCAACTGGCAATCTAACTTGCCAGGTTAGATCTCTGTCTCATTTCAGTTGTGATTTTGGACAAGGCGTTCTCTTAGATGGCACTGCCATGTATTGAATGATATCTGGCTGGCAAGGGCACAGTACTGGTTATTTCTAAAGTGCTAGACTTGTGTATATCATTTGATATCTTAATATTCCTGTGCATCAGTGAGATAGTCCTCTCTTAGGTATTTTTTTATAAGAATAATTCTTTTTATCTTTTTTAGGAATCATTATCACAGGCATTTTCACCTACAAAGGGTCTCCATGAACCCACTATTACTGTATACTCTCTTTTTTCCCTGGGTCAGTTGATTCTTCTCTAGATTTTCACTATTGGGTCTACACTGATGAAACTCCAATGTCCCAACCCTACTCAGAACTTGATTGTGGTGTTTGGAAATCCATCTTGAACTGTCAAATCTCAACATGGATGTCATTCATGCCCTGGTAACTACTACACCACATTCTACATGGGGTTCCCCTTGAAGAGTACCTGGAAGCTTTAGCAGTGGCGCAGTGGACATTCCTCGATATCCGTATATAACAGCTCGTAAGCTGCACTGGATGCCAATTTGCTTCCAGGTGTGATTCAAGATGTTGCTCATTACTTATAAAGCCTTACATGGCATTGTGCTAGGTTACTTGGGGAACCACTTATTTCCATAGTGCCTACCTAGTCAATTCCATTCAGCAGGTTTGGCACACTCCAGTTTCCTTTAATTAAAATGTCAGCTGTCAGGACCTTTGAGGTGCCAGACCTCTGTAATACAAGTTCTTCACTGCAAGGAAATACCCTTAAATGAATTTATTATTGAAATAAGACAACAGCACTTCTATACAACCTGCATAAATCAAATAAGTTCATTTTTATCTACTGAAAATTCCACAGGATATTTTTCGAAAGCATATTATTAAATATACTATCAATTTACATAATTTGATTCAAACTTTCATGGTAAAGTAGCCTGAAATTTTCAT